GCACCTTTCTCAGGTTTTCATAATGGCGGGTGAAAATTAAAAAAAGGGTATCCTTTTTTTAGTTTTGAGTGTGAAATACAAAGAAACACCTTGATTTTTAGGCATATTTCATTTTCGTCATACATGTTTTTTGCAAAAAGTAGAATTGCCAGATCCGACCACTGATTTATTGCGTAGCTTTGCCTTAAAGAATTATCACGACGTGGACTTGAAAAAATATCGCACCCTTTTTGAGATGATTTCAACGAACAAGCATCGTTTAAAGGCTCCCTAAACCCGAAGAAATGTACAAATGAACCCAAATTACGTCAAATTTTAGGGCACAGGTTACCAAAAACTACGTAGCTAGTTTCAACAACGAATTTCATTAGTAAGTGACTTAACCACGTGAGCAATTGACACCTGTCAATGAATGAAGACACGAGCCGCGTCGGCGGAAAATTTAAATGCGTTTCAGTACCGTGAGTACTGCTCCATCACTGATAGTCGCTTGGCGAATTTCAAGAATATCTACAAGAATGAAGTACAATATCCCTTCATGTAACGAGACTTCGAAGACAAGCTTATTTCAAAAGTCTGTATAGAGGTAAGCGTGTGAATCTTTTGAGGTCTGAAAATCTTTTGGATTCGGGCTAATTGATTTCGAAAATATTTTAGCGCCTCGCGCGCTGTGTTCCCACTGCGCAAATTTCGTGCAATGCAATGAAATGTTCACAAATAAGTGATTCACGTGCATTTTTTACTTATTTCTCTTTAACTTATCCATTAAAGCTTTTTTGTCGATCTGGTTGCCCTCGCCGTATTATATTAGGGCGTCTATTAGAGGTGTTAGAGTCAAAAAGAGAGCTTATTCTAAGTAGAGGACGACTACGAGAATAGCCATTGTCAGTGTAGCGTCCACTCATAGCTACTTGAAACTGTACTTTAATCAGTTGTTCACTTGCTAGTTCGTTTCTAATCTGCACATAACTTGTATTCATTCCATTCACGAATTGCACGTGAAAGAGAAAGATTCGCTGAAATAACAACAACGCGACTATTACAAAGATGATATCGACCGAATAACCGAAAATACTGCATACTTACAAGTTATTGTGCCTTCTTAATGGAAAGGAAAACTTGTCCTAACGAAACGACAGTATANGTCACCGAAGACCACACCATATAACGTTTATTTTCTGTCTCTTACAGTCAGTCTAATTATGAGTTTTAGCGAGAGTGTCGTAGTGGCGAAAACAAGTCATCAAATGTTAGAAATTATATCATTTAGCGATCGGGAGAGAATTTAACCTCCTTCAACGGAAATAAGCGTACTATTATAAACTAATGAAGCTTTCCCGTGATTCCGGGGTGTCCATTTTTACAGAATAGCCGAAAAACTTAAAATTAAATGTCGTTCTCGTAGACTGAAGCTCTCCCAAACGCTACTTGAAGTGATCGAAATTCTTGTGTAATTTCATTGCTTGAGGTCGTATCAAAAGGACTTGCATCGAAGCGAGCTTGTATCGAAACGACCGGTTTCCATGTTAACTCAGAAGATCCATTAAGCTCGACAACAAACGTTGCTCATGTGCGTACCCAAGAAGCCAAAAAATTGCGCTTCACATCGAGTTTTATACTGAGACTAGCTGTCGAATAACCTGGGCCGAGTTGTTCAAAGCTGGGTTAAGATAACCCAGGGTTAGTGCGAGATTTGAATTCAGATTTGAAAGCTTAAAAAGCATTTCAGTTTTAATTCTTTTTGTCTACAAGTTGATGATTGAAAGCTCTAAATATAACAGAGAAAATTATCCGAGAAAATGCTTTTGAACACAAGAAAAAGAAACCCGGGTTAAGGGCTAATCGGCCTTCGAACAACTGGGCCCAGACTATCAAATGGAACGATCTGATCCAGGAACAAAGTGACTGTGTAGATTTTCGCCTTTTTTAAGCGAAAACCCGTTGACGTAACAGTAATTTGATAACAAATAAGTTTCACCTCTCATGTGTCAGAAAGTCTCACTGAAAAATATACGCATGTTAAAACCCATTCACTTTGTGTTTTCGCGTGATTTTTTAGTAACTTCTCAACTTAACCGGCCTGCAGTCATTAGAAGTCATCAGAACAGCAGATTGCAGGCCTGAAGATATGACTGCTAATCATATACAAGCAGGCTATCCTTCTGAGGATTATGGCACCACAGAAAATTTAGGCCTCCTGGAGGAATTACAGAAGGTAAACTATTTATTAAGTTAATCTACTGTTTTGTTGCTGAAGCTCGTTACTGTAAATCCTCTATTAAGCCCCCCTCCCTATTATTATTATTCACTTATAAAATGACAGACTGTATTAATCAATCACAACTGTAAAATTTTGTGTGGACTGATCTGGGATGTGATTGAAATCCTACGGCTTGGAGTTGTTGCGTCCGTTTGCATGTAGCTTTGAAGAACTGCAACCACAGGTAGCCCAAGCTCGAAATATGAGCATCGGCGAGCATCGGCATTGTTGCATAACATTCAAAATATAAGGATTTGTATGGGAAAAAAACCTATCTTTTCTGTAACTTACGAAAATGAAAGGATTTCAATAAAAAACAGCTTACCTTACTTAAAATGTGTGTTACATCTCTCCTGTGTGGTCCACGGGTCGATTTATGGCTGTTTTATGGGTTTTTATGTAAACAGTTTGCTCTCTATACAAAGGTTTACCAAGGTTGGGCACTCCAGCAAAGCGGCTGGACTGATCCACCGAAGGAAAACGGCCGTAAATTCGCTCCAACTGCTCCAATCGCCTCCAAATTCCGCCTAGGTAACACACGATAGTTCTCCTTTCCATTCGTTACCTTGCTTCAAGACGCCTTTGCACCGAGAGCGAATCAAAGGTCGCCAATCTCTGCAAACCTTCCGATTGAAGTCATCGATTGAGGTTCGGGATGAGCTCCGCGTTACCGTTGACAGATAGGACTTCAAAAAGCGCTTTCTGTGCTCGCTGAATATTGTAACAAATGGTTGCTATCTGTTAATTCAAAGAAAACTAAAGTTCTGATTTTTCAAAAGAAATGTAGAAAATCAGTCCTAAACAAATATTGTTTTAAGATAAACAATGACAAAATAGAAATTGTTAACAATTATACATACCTCGGTATCAATTTAGCTACAAATGGGAACTTCAATGTGTGTAAAATAAACTTAAAAGAAAAAACACGACGATCGTTTTTTGCGATACGACGCTACCTTGATTTCTTGAAACTACCAATTGACATAACCAATAAACTCATCAATTCGCTTTTCCTCCCCATTCTTTTATATGGATCTGAAATCTGGGGCATATATACTAAAGATGATTTTAACGCCTGGGAAAAAGACATAATTGAAAAAACGCATATATATTTTTGCAAACAGTCCTTAGGCGTAAATAAACAATGTCCAAACGTCGCTGCTAGAAATGAACTAGGTAGATTACCGCTGAAATTAACTATAGATACCTCAATTATTAAATTTTGGATTCATTTACAAAATATGCCAGATAAAAACATAGCAAAACAATGTCTACAACTCTCCCAGGAAATGGCCGATAACAACCAGCCAGGTTTGATGCAGAAAATAAAAACTATATGTAGCAAGTACAACGCAACCGCCATAACATTGAATGAAAACAACGAAAAAGTCTTCACCTCTTACATCAAGCAAAACATCAATAATGCTCTAACTGAGCATCAACTTACCCTCCTTAAAACAAATAGAAAATTGAATTTTTATACTACCTTTAAGAACGATAATAAAAAAGCAGAATTCTTAAATATGATTAAAAATCCACTTCACAAAACCTCACTCAATAAATTTCGACTAGGAAATCATCGATTACATATTGAAACAGGCAGACACACAGTACCTAAAACTCCCGAAAATTTAAGAATATGTTATCTATGTCAGACGAATGAAGTTGAAAATGAACTTCATTTTCTATTCTTCTGCAAACTTTATGACAATTTACGTTTAAAATTCTTCAGTGAAATATCTGATAGATATACACTTTTCAAGGACTTAGATGTGACTTCAAAACTTTTATTTCTCTTTAATAGTATAGATCCCTCTGTTTGTAGATCAATTGCTGCTTTTGTTTTTGAATGTATGCGTTACAGACATGATATGTTATTTCAGAAAAGAATATAATCTTTTTATTTTGCCATATATTTATAAATGATATATTTGTACTTTATTCATAAGTATTAGATAGGTAATGCCATGTATAGATATGGAAATACCTTAATAAATTGTTGTTGTTGTTGTTGTTGATAGCGACACGGCGTGAGACTCAAATTACTCACACTCGGGGTGGGAGACAGTCTCTTGCTCATGTTGACACAATAGGAAAACAACTGTCTCCCACCCCGAGTGTGAGTAATTTGAGTCTCACGCCGTGTCGCTATCGGTCAACGGTAACGCGGAGCTCATCCCATGCCTCAGTCGATGACTTCAATCGGGAAGGTTTGCAGAGATTGGCGACCTTTGATCCGTTTACATAAAAACCCATAAAACAGCCATAAATCGACCCGTGGACCACACAGGAGAGATGTAACACACATTTTAAGTAAGGAAAGCTGTTTTTTATTGAAATCCTTTTATTTTCGTAGGTTACAGAAACGATAGGTTTTTTTCCCACAAAATCCATGTATTATGAATGTTACGCAACAATGCCGATGCTCGCCGATGCTCATATTTCGAGCTTGGGCTACCTGTGCTGCAACCAGCAAGAAAATGACAATAATTATTAAATGCATGGCTTCCTTTTTTTCTGTTTTGCTGGTCACTTTTAAATTTAGAAATTTTACATCATTCTCTAGTTGTTACGTATCTTATGTAACTCTTAAAAAGCTTCTTTTTTTAGCTTACCATAACCAATTAAGCCCCAATATCTAAATACAAATTCTCCAGTGCGACTGATTTCCATAGATCCCCATTTTATCAATTCTCATAAACTTTCCTGGATGTATGTTGGTAGAAAAACATTGATGTTG